AAATTCAAGGAATTAAATGCGCTAAGGAAGTCCGCGATATGTAAGTGTCTGTTGTTGTTCAACTAGTGACCGCTAACCAGTACTGCTGTAAATCACTATTCCACTTCTGGGTGCATATCTTCCTCCTTAATGAGCAGCGTTTACTATGGGTTTCATGTATTTTTCGGTGTTAGTAACTCCTGCTACGCACAGGAAGGCTTGACCTTATGAAACGATAAATAAGTTTTTTCAGAGTGTCCTAACAAGTGGTCTACTTTCTAAAATATCCCATACTTAGCACGCAAGTTTGCCTTCTTCTTTCTTACAGGTGTGATCACAGAGAATTCTTCCGTCCCTGTGCGGCTGGCTTACATTCAAGCTCGTGATCCAGATTTCGATGGACGGGATCGAGTGGACTGTACCGTACTTGATAATTCAAACCTCTCTCTAAGGCGCCTGACACCTACCGATGACCACAAACCTCCACTTGGTGCTTCTGATGGGTATCCCGTCAACAACGATTTCCTCCTCAGCCTTGAGGCCCCAGTCGATAGAGAGACTACGCAGATGCTTGTGGCCCGGATCCACTGCACGGACGAGGCAAAAAACCCATCTGACAAACTCATTCGCATCCGCGTGCTAGATATCAACGATGAAGCTCCCACTTTCCTTTGGCCAATATTCTACTTTTCGGTGAAGGAGAACCGTAAATTAAATTCCGGAGGACGGGGAGCAGAGAACAGTACTAACAAGAGTCCGCAGGGTTATCGTATAGGACGAGTGATCGCGTATGATCGAGACCAGGGGGACAATGCCAACATCATATATCGACTTCTGCCACAACTCGAAATCAGCCAACCGGTTGGACGACCTAGTTTCCTGCCCCAACCCGACAGTCCTAGGGATCTTTTTATGCATGAGGCTACCGATCTCTTCCAGGTGGACTCCTTCACGGGTGAAGTTTTTGCCCTACGGCCATTTGACGCTGAGCAAATCGACATGATAAAGTTTCAGGTTATCGCAGTGGATCAACCAACAGCTCCAGACTCTATTTCACACACTGGCACTGCAAGCGTTCACGTGAGGATAGTCGATGTCAACGACTGGTCTCCTATCTTCTTCAAGACCAACGACAAGGAGTCCACTGCACATGGTTACAACATTGATGACAGCGATGGAATTACCTTGGTGGACTCCTACATCTTTTCGGTGCCGGAAAACAAGCCTGCTTATACAATAGTTGGTAGGATCGGTGTGCTAGACCCCGATGTCAGCTTTTGGGTGAACGCAAATACCACGTTAGAGGGTTCTGGGTCAAAAAACCCGCATCTACCCCGTATTAGTCTTCGATTTGCCTCAGATACTTTGGCACATATCAAGGATGCGCTCAGTATCCACACAACCACTGGCCAAATTCGGACGGTTCACCCTCTGGATAGAGAGACCTATGCCAATTACAGCTTCTCAGTTGTTGCTATTGACAAGGGCTCAGAGGACAGACTATCGAGGACTTCGACAGTTGCCGTGACTGTCATAGTTGAGGTTAGTTGACTTATATAGCTTACGATTATTTTCTGGATGTATGTATATATATCGCGTTCATCATCTCCCAAAGGTAAGGAAGAAGAAGAGGGGGCAGTTTTATGGACCAAATTGTATTTGAACTGACGTTTCGAAAACCTTCTCGCTTCCATCGTCAAAGTTTAGTGGAGTCAGGTGGTCTATTAAACTCTGACGATGGAAGCGAGAAGGTTTTCGAAACGTCAGTTCAAATACA